ATTAATGTCGTCAATAACAGGCTTTTCTCTTAGCCTTTTAGCTTAAAACCTAATGACAGTTCAAACATCGCGATTGTTCCTTTATATATATTGCTGCGTAGTAAATTTTTTTTTATGTGCAAAAACATAAACAATCAATGTTCAGGTAACATTTAATCAATGTATACACTCTTTTTTCAAATGCGTAGTTTAGGGCAAGTTTATATTGCACTTTTATTCTTAATAAATAAAATAATAAAAAATATATACTATTAAAATGTGTTTGACAAACTTAGCTGAATGACTGGAATGTTTTTTGATACTTTTTCACTTGAAAGTAAATTGTGAATTGGCCGACAAACCTGTATTCGCTGCGCAATAATTAGAATTTAACGAAACTAAGAATATAACCATCTTTATGTAACGTGAAGGCCTACTAGTGGTTACTATTTTACCAAAGGAAGCCCGAAATGACATAGGGAGCCCGTCTCTAGTGCTTCAAAGTTCATATCCATTAAATCTCAATGCATGAAGACTTTGGATAAAGTTGACATCTTTTTGTTGACTCTCGGGTTAGATCCAATTCGATTTTTAGTTGCCACATTTTTTTATATCTGGAATTGAATGACATTTCTTATTTGTTATTGCTGGTGTCAGTTTGATTATATTCAAGCTCTTTTATCCTTTTATTTGTTATATATGCATTTTCAGGGTTCAAAAACTTAAATATCGATATTTTCGACTCACGATATCTAGCCATCAACTAAAATGGCGAGATAGTGAGTATATCTGCACTTACACTGGAAAACATCGCGCGCTTTAAAGGTTGTAAATTTGATGTAAATATGATGTAAGTGTCCAAAATTCTGTAAATTTGATGTAAATGATTTCCATTAAATTTACAGAATTTTGGACACTTACATCATATTGACATCAAATTTACAACCTTTAAAGCGCGCGATTTTTTCAAGTGTTTCATATTATAACTCCAGGTATTGCTGTCGAGGGTGGTTAACGCCGGACTGAAGCACCCCTTTTAGGACCTTTTTTTGTAGTTCAAGCTTTTATATCATTTCTCTTTGTGAAGGAATTCTTATGTTGCCTTTTATTCTCTGGCTGTTGTGTGCTTAATAAGTCTCCATTGCAATGGTGTCCCTGTACTGAAATCAAACTACATTTACGCACGCGCATTAAAATACCTGTTTATCAGGTTCATGGGGGAGGAGTCTCGAGGGGGAGGTGCCTATTTCAAGGGAGGAGCCTATGTTGATATAATCAACACTTCACTACAAATGTTTATGGAATTTCACGAGATATCACGATAAACACACGCCATTAGCAAAATGCGATTAAACCAAACAACGATGGTTACAATGACTGCATCACTACAGTTTGTTGAAATAGAAAACAACTGGTACACCTGACTTGTGTGATCGTTGTTGTTGTTGTTGATGATGTTTAAGGATTTTTTTTGTTGCATGTCTTGATCTTCTGTTAACCTTGATAACATAACAGCTAACAAGGATCCTTTGGAATGGCGCCAGTACGTATGGGAGAATTAATTAGACTGCGGATATTTTGAACTATATCGATTTATGTCTACATCACTTCACATCCACCAATAAGACCTTTCTGTGAATGTTTTGTTAAAAAGTGTTTTTTGATTCCATATTAGAGGTGCTTGCCTTATCCCAAGATATTTTCGACATGGACTTGAGAATGTCTTTAATGAGATAACTAATGAAGCCTTGAACATACGTTTGTTTAAATACACACCGACAAGGTCAACTGCGACTTGGTATGCTGCTTCAATGTCAACTAGCTAGCTAGGCCAATCAATATCCCATCCATCATTTTCTAAAATACCTCTTCGAAATTCCACTCTATTTTTTCTCATATCATTTTAATGGCAACATGAAACAGCAAACTAACACAGTCATATGTTGTATKTATTTTCCKTCAAGTTTTAAAAAGGCAACACCATGTTAAAGCCCCCCTACCCCACCCCCTGGGTAATCATTAAGATGACGATAGACTGAGACTGATGAAAGGATTATGATAAGTCTAGACCGATCTTTGCCGCCAATCGCACCAGTACTGTTAGAAAATAGTTTCCTCGCCGCCTTAGTATTCATTTAATCTTAACACAACAAGTCACGCGTTACACTCGTTGAATGTGGTCTATTTCTAGCCGGCCGCTCAGTTAACAATGCCTTGGTTAAGGTTTTAAACCCGATAGCCGGATAGATAAGAGCAGTTAGTACAGTAGACATCTAACACCCTTGCGGGTATAACAGCCCCTTGACCACGCCCAACCTGTCTAACCCACCACAATATGACAAGTGAAAAGAATTTCTATTGATAAGCTTTGCGCGCTAATCTAACAGCCATCTCTACCGTACATTATAATACAGCGCGTTTTATCAGCTTTGAGCGTTCGTCGCGTCTAATGTTACGGTATGTTTGACGTRTGATTTAGACCTGGTATTTCAATTGCCCTCGTGTCGGTCAAACGATCCAGTTAGGTAATAAGGGTCTCCCAAATAGTATGATACGTACACGTAGACGTGCCATTCTGTCTGCGAGGGGCATCTAATGGACATATCAAGGGTTAACAATAAATGTAATAACACCTTAGAGATCGCAGTGCTTCCGATGACTTCGTGTTTACAATACTGATCTTAATCATTTTGAGATGGTGAATAAACATGAACAGCACTTTCTTGCCAAAGATAACCCAACACTAATAGAGTAAGAGCAATAAAAAAMCTTGATTTGATATCAAAACGCCCGACGTCTACCGCAATCTACTTCAAGGTCGATAAATGTGCTGACCAGTTTTTCAAGTATCGTTTAACACTGTCCTGTTTTTCAAATCAAACCGATAAATACGATACGCACGGCGACAAGTTCGATCGACTCTAATTGTAAAGGTCTGAACAATCAACTTTTATTGGTTTCCCTGTTTTTATCAGATGCCTACAGATTAAAGATCGTTATAGTACAACTAAAGTTCAGAATTTTTAAAACCATCATTACAACCTCTTGATTAGAACGTTGGMGCAYTGCCAGTCTCATCTATTCAAGTATCACACATATTACACAGATTTTAACAGCGACGGCTATTAAGGGGGTATTAAATACTGTCGCTGGGGGGTGGGGAATGACTTGGCCCGGGGCTTCGGCATGATCTTTACTGCTACTGTTACACCACTGCCAATACCTCTTCCACAGTTATTGCCGATACCTCCGCTACTACCATTCTCATATGTTTTCAATTAACTACCGCTACCGCTAGCATCACTATCATTACCACTATCCCTCTACTCCTCCAACACTACTAACMCATAAAAACAACACAGCATTTGGGAACAAATTTATAATAATTCAAATGTCTTTCAATATAACTGAAAATAAACGGCGCACAGTGTCTAGGCTGACCGTGAAGGAATGCTAAGTATGCCGGGTGTACAATCTATTTCATATCTTGCTTTTACAATCTATCATTTTAATGCATTTTATATTATATCTTGAAGCACAATTCTAGGATAGTTGTTTTCTTTTTTAATGGACGATTGGGCATCAGTGTTCGCATGCATTAATAATAAAAAGTTATGGGAATAAGAACTCAAGGATCCTTCATTGGAGAGGTTACGTTTAAGAACAGATCTTTTAAACTGGCTATTCTCAATGCCACATCATGGCTAATAGACGATGCATGTCACACGCTCTCAACTACTTAGCAGTTTAAAAGGGTTTATTACAAGATCTCAAGGCAATATTAACCTCACAGACTGTTTAAATCTTCTGCGTCCAAATGTAGCCGCATTTTTGAAGGTTTATCAGAAAAAGACTCCCTAAAAGAGCTACTGGTGTATATCTTGATACAAAACTACAATGAAAGACATAAACAAATTCAGAAAACAAATGAAAAACTTTTGTGTTAATTGCTGTGATGTTACACTAGCGTTCAAGTTTATTTATGTGTTATTTCAAACATAAATGTGACTGTTTTGTCATATCTTTTGTCTCTACTTGAACAACACTCGACCTTGTTCTACTGCACAGACTCAACGGCAGTAATATAGACTTTAAAGATAATTATTTAAGATATGAATGTTTATTCACTACTTACAACCGTAGATTATGCCTCAATGGTAACCTTTTTGGCAGTTTAATTTCATTTACATTGAGTAACTGTTGACTTTTACATCATGAAGCGACCCTTTCAAGAATAAAGCGCGCGAACTAGTATGACTGTGATACGATAACGGGGAAATATCGTTTTATTGTAAAATTGAGTTTACTTTCAAAACTGTGTAATAACTTATTATTGAATACAAGATACAATTTCTATCAAAAATAATGATTTTTTGATAATATTACAATTGTTTTGGGATTATTTACTAATGATATATGTGGCCCATGTCAACAAAGACGCCATAGTTTTGTTTTTGGAAAGTCTTTTCAACAAGCATTGTATAAACATGTCAGCGAACAGTAAGCGTTTCAAGAGACCGCCATATTTTGTTTTCTGAGAAAAGTGATCAAATGGACGCCGCCAAAGCTCCTACAGGGAACATTGAATATACTACTGTGCCATACATACTCACTTAAACACGAATTACTAAAAGTTGATCAATTTACCAGGACATTAAAAGTTAGACGTACAAAATATAAGTAGGTACCAATTAGAAAGAATCAAGCTTTTAAGAATCGAAGATAACTGTCTTTTAAAGGAAAGTTTTTTCGATCACATGGCCTGATCAGATTGATGCGTGGCACCTTCCCAGTCATGGCATGGGATGAGTGGAACGTTACGACAAAACACCGATTCTTGAGAAATTAAAGAAATGATTCGAAAAAACATATCTAGAAATTGTWCGTGATAAGATGTTCAYAATATTCCGCTTCATACTAGTTGACGTTATAGAAGGCTTTTGTAAAACATACACAGTTTTCAATGGGATTCCGCACAAAAAATAACTGTCATACTTAAGCTCAGTGACAGCTGTCAATCACAAAGACATGCAGACTTATCTTTTAATGAACACCAACAGATCTTTCGATCACTGCAGTGCTGATTACAAATTGCATTTTTTTTTGACTTGTTATCTTTTCCACCCTTAAACTTCTTCGTCAAGTTCACATCTTTGTAATTCCATCAATGTATCTATCAAAGAAATAAAAGAATTAGTTATTAAACATGTTTCTCACTTCTTCATATATCCCAACATAGTTGTGCCTTTCTCTTCACTCACTTGCAAAATACATGATTTCAGTTGAAAAGGAGTTCGAGTCGAATTCTAAAAGGATCCGTTTGCATGGAAAACGAGAGTCAGAACTACATTTGTTTATGCAAAATCTGTTGTTTGGGAATTTTCCARTCTTGTCAATATTCCTTAATACATATCTTTTAGCTTGATGTTAGCGCGCACTTGTTTGGAACGACAAACGCAGTCAAAATTTGGTTCAGTACAAAGATATCATGAATGTTTCTAAAGTATTATACTATATCTATAACGTACAAAGGAACCACAAACGGAAAATGTATGCCTTTACCACACAACTATCCAAAAACTTTCTCACCAAAGGTTTAATGAAAGCCAAAGCAAACAAATTATCATAGTTTTAATGACTGTTAAAAGCAAAACGTGTTTTCATCTTCACCAACTTGGTCATGAGCAAACTTGATGAATAAAACAACTGAACGTTTTGCTTATAACCTAAAAAATAGCTTTATCAATCATGGCAGGACTATTTATAGAGAGTTTGCTACTCTGTGGCTATGATTTTCGTGCAAAGTGAACAGCGAGAGGCAAAACAATGAGTTTGGTCATGAATGGTACATCACATCAAAGATGGCGGACAGTTTTAGGCGACGTTTTGCTTCTCCGTCTCGCCTATTTTTATGAAAATAATATRCTACAAGAGTATTCCATAATACAGTTTTTGCATAGACGACATAAAGACATTACATATGATTGATTTGTTTTTAGAAAATCACCAATACAGCGAAGAAAAAGGCATATCGTGCAAAACGTGCTCGTTGTTTTAGCGAGGTTTGAACGAGAAATAACAAGCAGTACTTTCATTCCCTACTCACTTCAGCATTTTTAAAATCTCTTTTATTTAAGAAGTAACATACGAATGGCCGATTGGTCTTGTTTCTTTGATATAAACACGYGGAAAAGTACAACAAAACAAGCCACTTGCTTATCGAGTGCTTTCCATCATCCACAGTGTTTACATAAGAGGATAGAGACACAAGCGGCCGTTTAATATTTCCTTTTGAAAATGTTCTGCTTTTTTTCTGTACTCTTATATAAACACAGTCAATAGCCAATAGGATCGCACGTTTAAAATCTAAATATTCACTCATTCTAAAGAAATTCCGAACGTTTGAATAGCTTGCGGATCGAATCCTGTAAGAGCATTAACTACATGTCTGGACACAAACCGAAACCACGCAATTCCAGTGTTGAACGGAAATGAATCTTTCTTCAAGGAATTATCTAAGCCTTTCTACTTAATTTATGGATTTAAAACGAATACCTTTTTAACTGGATGGTAAATGAACAAATACAAAGAAAACCTCAGGTTAATTCACTATGAAAGTAACTACATGTTCAACATTCAAAAGTGAAACCTGAGTTCGATTTCACAAATGTACAACAATAAATAAGCATTTAAGGATATTATCAGAGTGGTTGCTCTTTTCGATATTTCATAACTTGAATGCCATTTTRGTAAGATGTTTTTTTATTAATGAAAGAAATGATCAATAAGAAGAAACTGTTGCTTCGCAAGTAGCTTGGAAAGCCGTGCAATGCGGTGATCATGACTAAGGCGTTGCTCAGAATACACGATGAATTGAATCAAATTAATACCAGAACTAAAGACAAATGTATCCCCAGAAAGTAAAACCTAAGCCTGCTAGTCTCTGCAACATAAAACATTGTAGAAAAGCATTTTTGTATTTCTCTTGAAACGCGAAGCAAAATGGCGCGCCTTGCATTGCGGTTATAAGAAAGTACAGCTTGTTTACTCGTTGCGCCTTTAATTGGACCTCTAAACACCTCAATGTGTCTACAAATAGAGTATCTTAGTAATAACATATTCAAAAAAGAGTAAGGAATTGAGTTCAGCTTTAAACGAGTTATTATAGTTGTTGGTTTTTAAGTGTTTAGGAAGAGCATTCCAAGACTATGTCATGTAATGGTTTGTGAATCATTTCGTGCATCGAAATTCAAAATATAAAGATGTAAATTTGAGCAAAAAATTACCAAATCTGACGGAATTTGAATCATTTTACAAGAATGGATCGAGTTGAATTGAGTTCATTAAGAATAAGACGGACAAACAACATTGGATTCGGCTGCAATAGAGTATCGAGGGAATGACTTTTGGCAGGCAGAGACCACTTTTATCCAGAGAAGCATCACATTTTTCATTTTACTTGTAGCAAAAACACTCTCTTTGTTAGAAAGAACGCACATGAAAAGGTATGTTATGTATAGATATGCGTTAAATAGCACAAGGAATGTAGTACTTACGGTAGAGGCTGAGGATACGTTTTGGTGTTCATTTGTCATCTCCGACCGGTTACCGGCCATAAACGTCTTGACAAATTTACTGGAAAGTTTGATTGAAACCAAGGATTTTTATGACAGAATCTTTCAAAGCATTAAAAATGTACTTAGGAATCCAGAAAAAGAACTTTTACCTGTACAGAGTTTTAGAAATACGCTTTCTGTCACTTCATGTCGAAATGAACGATCCGATCATGACCTTCTCTGTAGTCACTTCCATGACCACCTAGAAATCGATACAACTGTCCTTTCGTAACAAATTGCATCTAAAAAAGTATTTTAACCTAAAGCTATTCACATATGCACTCAGTTTCCTCTACACGATCTAGCGTACAGTCAGGCCAGAAAGGTTTTTCCGTAAACAGAAAGAGAATCTTGACCTAGCCAGCTCCACCTTGAACCCCTGCATACAGAGTGACTGCTTTCATTATGCCTTTTGTTATTCCATTTAATAAGAGAAATTTACGAAATACAGTTCTCAAMTTTAGAATAATAAAGCCTTAATTCTAGTTCTACTTTTTGTGATGAATGAGTTAGTATGTAGTTCTATAAGAGTCTTTTTGAACCCCTCCCTGATGAGTCATTGTTCATTGTCTGGCAAGGCAGGAAGGCACTGGCATTCTTCTTGGGCAAAGTTCGGCAAAGCTTACTGCAAAAAATTATCTACTTAGTTAAATACTCGACCTTAAAATCCATTTTATTGAAAGTCAGATCAAGATGCATGAATTTAAGGTTAAAAAATGAGCAAGAACTCCGCTTTGGGTATAAATATGATTAGTGTTTTGCACTGTATATCAAAATGGTGACTTTATAGCCGTATTTCTTGCTTGTTTATATAGTTTCTTGTTTAACTCACTTTAAAAGTGTAAAAATAACTATAGAAACTGCATAATAAGAGATATGACAGCACCGTTTGAKCTTTTATAAGCGCTTATTTACAATATTGAGAAGACTTCTGAAGAATGCAATGTTTTGTTCAGTAGATAAGAACCAAGAACAAATCATTCAGCCTTCAGCTACAAGAAGTATCTCTTTGGACAATAGCCTATTAGTTAAGCAATCACAATGTTCAGCGACAATAAATCTGACCTATAGTAGTGTATTTATGATCTATGATCAGAAATGTGTTTTCTGTTAAAGGGTGAAGTTAACGCCGAAGTGACGGACGAAGAGGTGTCCACTCACCTTCTCATCAAGTAGCATAATTGGAGGCTGTCAAGAAGTATTAGGATATTTTGAACTGATCTTCCTTGAAGTGGTTGATTTGGTGTGCCATATCTCATTCCATACCGTAAATGCACGGCGCTATTTTYCYTACGGTTTTTCGCTTTGTTTTCGATTCCAAATCGGTTTGCTTAAAACCAAGCAACACCGGACTAAGCAATTTGCGCCCATGTTTCGTGCAGTTTGCCAGGAAATAACCCACTGTGAAAAGTATCATTTCCTGCAGCATGTAGAACGTCCAAAAAAAGATTTATTGCTTGTGTTATAGTTTGCGTTATAGTCGCAAGATGTGTAAAAGAGAAGTAATTTAATGGTGGCTTGATATCAAATTTACATCTCACCGATATCAAGTCGCCTTCAAGTCGCCTGTTGAATTGTTAAACGAAACGGAAAATAGCATTTCACGATAGAAGGTTTTTAAGTGTGCAGAATTCAGGAATTGTGGAGATGGAATGACTGGRAGAAGAATAGAATTTGCCGGAAATATTGGAAATATTCCCCATGAGTACTTTCCACAGACATGGACGCCATTTTGTACATTCAATTAGACCCAGGGTTTGTTTACGGGGCATAAAAATCCGTTTTTCGTTGATCACAAATGTTTAAATATACTGCTAGAAAATGGGAATTTTCTTTTATTTGAGAAATGTAATAATTTGTAAAATCATAATCATAATAATTTTTTCAATTAATGTTTGGAGCATTCTAGTGAGTGATCTCCTTCCATTCCGTACCGAAACCATGCRTTTTGCTTCAGGCAATATAATCAATTACGAATAAATGCCATTATAAACTCATGATCAAGACTACAGTTGACCCAATGTCTCTCTTGGTTAACTAAATGAAAAAAATGTGTTGTAAAAAAAAATCATTTTATTGAGGTCACAACTTACAAGCAATTGATAATACGAATTTCAGGGTCGTAAAACTTTTTAGATTGTCCTAGCATATTATATTAAAACTCTCAAAGAAGAAAATACTAAAGGAAAATAAAATGCAAAATTCCGGGGGAAAAGTGAGACAGTCCTAAAATAATGACCCTTTTTCAAGTTTGGTTTGCAAACCGAACTTTTTTGAAAAAGAGTCATTTTTTACTGGCTTGACAACACTTATCAGTTGTACAGTACTGTATAAACATGTTTATAAGATCTACTTAAAGGCTGCTTCAAAAACACGTGGCAGAACCGAGAACGCAACGACATGAAGTATTTCTTCATGGTGTCCAGGAAATAATGTCAATAAAAGTTTTGACCTGGCTCGCGATAAGGTTCTATTATTAAGGCCAACCAAAAATAGTCCAGTGTTTTAGCARCAATTGAAAACTATTATGTCTCTAATTTTGTTTGTTTTGTCTATTTTTTGTTTTTGTTTTTTAAAGTAAAGAATCAGTCAAGAAAATGCAAGACTAACCTCAGAACAGCAATTATTTTTCGTCAATCTGTTTTGAATAATACTTTTACATTTTTTTTTGTTTTAAAAAAACAGAATTGATATAATTTTTCTGGATTGTCAGTAATATGTAGCAACAAAATTATTCGAGGAAAATTCTAAAAAAGTGGACCAATCAAACAACCATTCAATTATTCGAAGATGAATTTAAAGGGCTACTTGGACGAAAATTGCGAAACATTAGAAAAGACTTGGAAATCAAAGCAATATCAAGAAGATATTGATACAAATCCTTAATGATTTGGGCAAAAAATGTAGATGACGTCATTTACTCCATCCTTTTGTTCTTCCATCTTTTGAATCAAAATTTCTCTGACGTGGGATAAATCCAAAACACGAAATATTTTCCCGCAATTGTTTTTAATAGATATAAATGAGTCATATATTTGTATTGCTTGAAGTTTTGAAATAAGACCATTTTCATGCAAGTAGCACTTTAAACTAAGAAAATCAATGGGTATTGCTGGATAGGTATTGCGGCACCGGGAACAATGAAATCAAAACTTCAGTCGAGAAAAGATGGCTACGGGTACATTCATTCCAAGCTGGTGAGTGTTTGTTTTTATTGTACATTCTTGCAGCGGTAGAAATATTCAAAASATTTCAATTATTTGTTTTAAGCATCATGCAAATAAAAATGAAGACAAATTACAAGAATCATCGGCTTGTTTCTTTATCTAAGATGTGATACAGATAGAATCTTTGAGATATATATAGCAATTATATATTAAAGTTCCTGAATCTTCTCAAGATATCTTTCCCTTCCAATTGCATATTGATAACATTGTCCACTAGAGTGATTCAAGGCTTGCGGCACAGCGTTAATGAGGCTATGAGGATTGTATTTGCCTTTGAGCTGTGATAACCCGTCCTATTCAAGGAGCTRTATACGCAATAGGTTTTAATTGGCAACGTGGTGTTCAAATGTCAGTTATTCAACTAGTTCTAATTTTAAAGAGGATCCTTGCCGTCAAATGCTCTCATCGATGTCACAGCATGTGAACGAAATACCAATTGTGTAGGATTGCGGCTAGACTTAAAGAGCGTTATGTAATCAGTACTGCGCGTCATATGATGCTATCTGTTTATGTTAATACAGATTAATCCAGAACAAATTAATTCAGCCGCCCAACAAACTGGAACATCATTCCTAAAATCGATAGATAAATTCCATTGTTAGAGACAACGCCGGGATGCTAGCGGGAGTACACCTTAGTCATTAACAGATTGTCCAAGCCTATTAGTTTCATGATAGCTTTAACTAATCCATGGAACAGACCAATCAAAGATAAAAAATTGCACAAATTACAAATGTTACGATAAGCTTAAATTAATCAGATTTTTTTCCCCGATAGTTTCTAAGAAATGTAAACGATTTTCCAGATAGCGGATAGACTTTACACAGGCCATTGATAGTTAAGGAGCGCGGGATTATAATTATCTGGAAGTCTTAAGTTTGATTGTGTTTTCTTTGCGCTATGAKTTCGGCCCCGTCAATAGAAATGGGTTTTTGATGCGCTCGTATCAGGGGTGCCTTGAGGTAAAAGGACAGCGGAAAGCACACTTATGTGAACGGACCTTCAAACATACATATTTGATGATAAACGCGTCTCACTTTCTCAATGCAGATGTGAGCGTGCTCAATTAATCAAATCTTGTTGTGTGAATAGAGAGGCTCCTAGCAGGTGACGTATACAATTTATCAATGTCAAATGAGTTGGCTCTAATCTTTCCATATTTGGAGACCTATTATTCTCAACAAACCTTCATCTCGCTAAGAATCGTGACCTAACTAAACGCTTTGGTCAAACACTTCATGAAACAATGTATACTGTCGCGAACAGGTCTATTTTGAGCAAAAKTAAAGAAGCATCCCTCTTAATCTGAGACCCATTGCTTGTATTCCCTGTTTTGTTTTATACCAAAAGTAGGTGCTGGTGCTGTACAACTAGAGGCCCCTTCCCAACCCACCGCTTTCCTGTCGCTCCTTGCGGGGTGTCTACGAAAGTAATCTCACAGCTTGCGTGCAACTCCATTAAGTAATATTGTTAAAACATTAAAACTGGGATCTACGTACTTTCATGTTATATTGCACTTCATCGGTTTGTAATGTTTTTCATGGGAATGTTGTCCACACATCCTCGTGCACGTTTCTTAGRCTACAAGACCTTTCCATTGATGTGAGCCTCTATGGCATATTTCCGCATTCGAACGCACAGAAAAAGAAGAGGACTTAGCTGAATTTATGCTTTTGAACTTACCAAGTAAAGGTTGGTAAGTTAACTTAATGTGGGGGGTGATTCCAGCAACTTCAGAGATTCAGAACAAACAGCAAACAAGGCCACGACATGGAAATTGTAACTATTTTACACTATGAAAGTATAACAAACACATCTTTATAAACTAGTGAGTAATTTACTACTGAATCAGTGATAAAAATAAGTTGGAGTCATTATAATTCTTGAGAGTCTTTCGTGAAGGCTGTGGTTTTGTTTAAATTGAACTTCTAAGGATTCCAGCTTCAGACAAGTTTCCACCAAAAACTTTGACTTTTGCGCACTTGTTTACAAGCTAAACAATTATAAGGATGAGATTTGATTCTATATTTGAAACGTTTGCATTTCTTTAAGACAGATTGAAAAATATGGCGTTGTTGTGGTCCTGTTGATAACGTACCTACAGCACTCCCAGCATCGATTTCATTGGGTTTCAATGTACCCACGTGATCAAAACGATGAACCTCATTGGTTGTTAGTGTCGTTTAGAAGGTGAATGAGCGCTTGGCGGGCAAACCATGATTGACATTGGTCTCCCGTAACAGACCTCTAGTGTTGTCTACCTAATTTATGGAGATATCTCTGATAGGTACCTTAAATTCAGGATACAGCTTCCCACCGTTATGGATAACGGCAGAAAACCGACTGCCAAGATTCAGGAAAAATGTGTTTCACATTTCCATGTATTAGGGAGTYTGGACAGTACCAACGTATGTTGCCTTTTGATTACTCTTTGTAAACTGTATTTAACAAATATATCGAATCCAAGGTATTGAAATAAAGAGCATGACTTTTAAGATGTATATATTGTCCATTTTGATGTATTTTTCCCTAGTGAGTACAACTTTTAATCGTTACTGTTGGCAATGTGAAATTGGTACTTTGGAATTGTTGCGAGTTTCTCTGCAAACTTTGTAAAAACAATGTTTAGATTGATAAAAAGAAATATTACAATTTTCTCTGCCAAAAATCACTCTAAACTTTAAGGAATGATAAAACTTTTCATAGCAGTTGCAGTTCAAGTAAAAAATTTTAAAGCCATTTGCCATGGAAATGTTTCTCTTTTGCGCAGACCATGAAAAATGGAGTTGCATTTGAGCTATTGCTCRTATTTATGGAGCAAAACATTCAACGGGATAAAATGTTTGATTTAGGGCAATACAAAATGAAGGAAAGCAAGGCAGACTGAAGTTCAAACGAGTTTAATATTTGCTAGTTTATGTTGTCCGTTACCGCACACTGCACAGGCCAAAGAGTTCATTAGTGATGATATAAAAGATTTAACGTCTATAGAAATCTGTTTTTTACCAATTCAACATCACACACATTTGGAACTCAATCTCTGGCCTAAAGGTCATAAAGTTTTATAGAAAACGAAACACACCTAAGGCTCTGGTATGCATAGGAAAGGACAATTTTGAGCTTTCCGTTGTTATGTCTTCTTTCAAGTCAAGAGCATGGGGTCAGTCATGGATCTTTTGTTAGCTGACCTGAAATCACTATTTTATTACATGTTTCCTTGTCATTTGACCAAGACAAATTTGAACATTATGTGTTCTAACGTTTGAAGTCAATGGTTCAGCATTACTTGATGTCTCACTATTGCTTTGTATAACTGATCCATGGTGTTTCTAAGACGCCATCATCGTCKCAATGCATCTAGAAAGAATCGTGCTTCTTCTTAGCAGGCTAAAAAGTAAGTAGCTAAAGATTTTCTGCTAAAAAAGCTGTAAGCCTCATGTCAAAGAACAGTAAAACGTGCTTCAGCCATAATGTTTTACGAAGGAACGTGTCTCTAGCTGTAGTTTTTTGGAGAAAATCGATTCAGTATATTTGCAATGAGCGATTTCTTGAGGTAAACTGGTGCGAACTTAACAGCAAGTTGCGTCTGTGCTTGTCTAATAGTTTGAATAAGAAACTGTAAAAGGCATTGTTTTCGACTTTAAAAGTTTACCTATAACATAAAGTGTTTGGTAAATGAGTTAATTTGATAATGACCACAGTATAGAAAAAGAATTCATAAGTTATTATCAACAAACATATATAAAAAAGATCAAGAGACATTGACTTTATGCTTTTATGCAGTCTTTCAGTAAWAGTCGTCTCAAATACATGTGAATTAACAATAGAACAAATTCTTATACAAAATAGAAGATGTGGCTAACTGCACAATCATGGCTGACTAAACAATGGCTGACGGTTTATTAAATCTTCCTTGATGCATATATACACTTAGATGTGGTATTCCGGCGATAATAAAACCATTTAAGTAAGAGCATATTCAACTGTACCACAGAACATCCTGGTATAATACTGTATAGCTCAAACCCTTACCGGTTGAAACAGTCAAACAGGATTCGATACTTTTAAAGTGTACTTGCCAGTCTGAGTCTGTGATGATAGCTTTAATCCTTACACTAGTCATTGTTAATCTTCATAAGTTGCTGTTAAGATTAACGCTCGAAATGTAACCACAGTTATACCAACAAGAATTAGCTTGTTCCCTGGTTCAGTCTACAATAATTTTTCAACAATTAGATTCGAGTGTTATCAAAATAAAAGTTCAAAAAGCCAACTTATTCCTAGTAATAATAGAGGTAGGAAACTACCCTTCCGAAAATCACCGTGACTAAAACTAAAGGTTTTGCTCCGTTGAAAGACTTTTCGTACTGAAATGCATTGTTATGATGTAATGCTTTGAGTGTAGGCCAAGAAAGCGAAAATAGTCGAGTTCAAGGTTGAGATGGGTCAAGATTTGTTCTGCTGTTCAACGGAAGGAACTAGCCAGAGGTTCCATTTATCAATATGTCTGTGGGCAAATTCACCTTTTGTGCACAAGCCATTGTAACAGAAAAATGTAAAATGCTACTTTCGTCTATTAACAAAGCCAGGCCTAGGAATATTCCATCCTGTTTGGATTATATTTGGTCAAGAATCAAGCGTTTTTGATGGCTAAAACACCCTTCGCTTTTGCACCGAAGTTCTGGAATGTRGGTATCGGTGTCAGATTCCTCTTAGTGAGTAGTAGGCTGTTCTTCTCGATGTCTTGAAATAACATTTTTAGTAGAAAATATTATTGTAAAATCTTATGAGAGAAATGARAGGAAATGTTCATTGAACACAATTGTAGCAAAAATTGGAAAGTATTAAGAAAACTGTATTTGCGTCGAAAGCACATGGTAACATTAGAACTTTATGCCATACAATGCTCATAGGATACTACACTAAACTTACTGAGGAATGAACCATTCTTATGGCATTAATATATAAGTACATAGCWTTTTCCTATTGAATAATCCCATGTCTCTTGAATGAAATTAGTTCTTGATTAAACCGTAGAAAAGATGCGATATTTATGATATTGTAGATTCATCGTTGTTTTGCAAAGATAAAAAAGCTAGTAATGCCTGTGAATACACCGCATGTTGTCATGAAGTGCTACACTCCGCCTTGTTCCAAATATAMTATCTTGAAAGCAATTTGTATCCCCAATAGAATAGTACTGATTTAGTGMATCTGTTCTCACAGACATCGWAAAACTGGATGCATTTGCCGAGAACGATTATAAGTTTTCATAATGAACCWTACTGTGCCAACTCGGCTCTCTTTGAGTCGGCAGACATAGCGCATTAACTATTTYAAATAGCATCATCAAAACTACAACTACCAAACCATTACTAGCAAATTGAAATCTTTCTGTAATATTTAAGTATAAGTTATACTTATATATCTAACTCWAGTTGAATCCAAACGGAAAGTTTTAGTATGYAGTTCAATCTCCAATCTCTTGACTCGATGCGCTGTTGTTCGAAAAAAAAGTAGAAATATAGTTTAATAGGCTGTTTTTCCTCAAATTGCACTRAAGTTTTATTTAAGTTATTCTTAACAAGTCATTCGATTTACCCTCATAACACCAGAATGTGTTCATTACTTGTTCAAGAATYGGTATGATTTTTGATTTAGTGTTAAAAACTGTTGGAATTATCAAAATAACATCAATGTTTTATCGTGTAAGTTTGAACAGTGCAATTATTTATTATAAAACCACTATTAACTGTAGTCTGTGTATTTAGGCTACTTCAATTCTAACTTATGTATTATTTGACACTGTATTGCAGTTGTATTGTGTCTGTTTTAGTATGTAGTTATCTAATAGTCGCTTAGTGCATATATGCAATGATTTTAGCTATGGAATAAATGTTTACAATTGTAGTTTGGCAACATTCTTTTGCATAGCTTGATCTACATGATGTGTTGCATGCTCTAACACATGGAGTTGTTTCATCTTGAATAAACCATGTAAATACTAAAACATGTATCTATTTTTTTCTTAAAAACACCTTGATAAAGTAATATTACTGCTCTACAATTTAGATTTTTATGGATTAGTTGTTAAATGCAACAAAACACTCATAGAATTTGTTTTATTCTATCTTAGGTTTGTGGACCGCCTGGGATCATACGAAGCTGCGATAGAGAGCTTTTGGTGGAGTTCGCTGCAATAGCTGTCCGCATTTAGTCCTACTTTATAAATATTCTTAACAGTTTGCTCACGTTTACAAAGTTTTTTTTGTTGTTGTTGTTGTTGTGTTTTTTTTTTTGTTTATTTGTTGTTGTTGTTTTTAACAAACTCAATAAAGTAGTATATTCGCGTTATATTTTTTGCAATAATTAATAAAGCCTCAGGGTTTTTTTCAAATATCCTGAACTCACAGTTCCTTCTACGCGCAAGAACATAATATGAGCTTCATCGCTATCCAGATGATTCAACGTTTGAAAAGATTTGATGTTCAAATGCTTTTAATTTTTATACAGCTTGACCTTGAGTACGTAGCAAAGAGGACAACATATTATATGTAGCTAATTACACGGGTCCGTGTCAAGTTGTGACTGATTCCTCTGGCTCTAAGTCAGCAAAAAATTGAAATAAAGAAGTTAAAGTGTTCAAATRTAAAGCGTTTTTATGCTGCTGTTGTTGTTTTTTATTTATTGGATGACGGGGTCAGTTCAGAACACGAACAGCACACTGTACCACGAGGGCGTGGGGGAAAAGCTAATTGTTAAATTGAGAGCGCTTTCCGTTCACAACAGCACAATTGTGTTTCAATAACATGGATTTTCTTCTGGGTCATGTAAGATCGTTTATAGCGCAGAAATAATTTGCCTATTTTTTAGCTTGTTAGTTTGTGCGTGTCTGATCACTGCAACAGCATTAACCTAAATGACAATAATGACATCGCATGATTGTTTTAAGTGTGGATTACCAAGTTTTTCCCATAATTGTCTGAATACATTGCTACTAACGCAGCTGTAATAATTGTTTCCTTCTCTCTTAAGCAATACTTGTATTACCCGCCGCCAGCTGGGACTCACAGTTTGCAAGAACATCAAATGGCTCAAATACATCGTCCTCAATTCATTATCCTCTGATATTAGTCATTAAACTAAAAATACTTAAACAACAGTATTGTGAACTGTAACATTCACAAATTTCCCTTTGTAAACCAGCTTCCAACAGAAACATTTAAAATTTCAACTGTTATAAGTTGATTTTATTATATTTTACTCTGATATTTAAGCAAGCATGTTTTGAACTGTGAACTGTGATTCACAACAACAACAACAACGACATCAACAACAACAACAACAAGAGAGAAATTCAACAAATAATGCACAAAATAGTTTATTTCTTTTCCATTTTGTACAATTCTAACTGGTTATAATATAAAAAGCATGGCTGATAAATATATTCAATACAAACACAAAGTAAATACCAATAAGAGAATATTCATATACAAAATATATATATATATGTATAATTTTTTCAAATTTGTAACAATAACTTTCATTAAGATACATAAGTATCATCATTTTTGATTTTTTTGTACGTTAATTGTGTAAATAAATTGCAGGAGAAAAGGCTAATTAGTATATAAACACACTTTATATCAAATGAGAGCTACAAACAGCTCGTATATTGTTAAAAGTACAATAAAATCGTCACGTACAAAGTTTTCGAAAAGTTTCTGGACCTTTTGTCGTTACATTTAAAAAAAAATTCAGTTTACCTAAATGTGCATGAATGATCTACCAAAATACTGTTCATCAGGGATGTCTATTCTGAAAGAGACTTTCCAAATGTTGACAAAAATTCTACAGAAAGGAATGAGGGTCAATGAAACATGTGTGTGGTCTTCAAACTCACTCAAATAGTCTGTAGTAACGAAGCATTCCTAGTAATATAAAAATTGTGACAAATTCAAAATGGTTGTAAATGCATTTTACTTGTTAATTTGACAAGACATGTGTCCAATTGAAACTCGTGGAAGCACTTACAAGACTTTCAAATTAGTCAAAAACCACTAAGAAATTGGGAAAATAGTTGGTGAAGATTTCACGATCCTGTAATTGTTCGAAACATGTCGGTTTTTCCGTTACAAGTGAAACCGTAAAGAAATATGGCAGCCCTAATGTGTGAAACATTACAATTAATTCCTGATGACCTCCATTTAGTGATAGACGTTGGTTCACCTCTGGAGTCCGCATTGATACGTCGAGTCGACGAAACATGATTTCAATTTCAAACAAAAATCTAACGTCGTTATGAAGCTCGTTAACAGGTTAAGAAAATACTATCCCAAAATGGGATGGTGAGTCACCGAACAGCCTTTCATTGTGTAAAGGAATTTGATTGAGTAATAACTCTTAGTCATGATCAGTTTGTTTTTGATAAAGAAAAAAAGAAATTGATATTAATAAAAGACTGTTTTCTATAGTTTATAATATAAGTCTATGTATGTTTATGAAACTGGAATACAATTTGTTCTACAAGGAGAAACTCAAATGGAGTTCAAACATGGCTTCTTCAGCCTTATGAAGTAGATCATTTGAGTCACTTTCTTGGTACATAATTTACTTAACTATACACAAACCGCGGTTTAACGGTCTCCAAATCTATAAACATTCGAGCGTCTTGCAGCTTGGCAGGAAAAGATGCTGTTGAGTGTGGTTGTACTCTTTCGAACGCTGTCAACATGGAAGGTTCACCGACATGGCCGCTCCGTTCTTCCCAATGTTTACCGTTCTCCTCAGTTTTCGCTTTGGAGTTCATTTCTTCTTTGAGCTCTTTTCGCCATTTTGTCCTTCGGTTTTGGTACCATGTTTTAACTTGGGTTTCCGTCATTCCTAGCTCTTTTGAGAGTTCTGCACGTTTGGCTTCCGTCAAGTACTTCTCTTCGCCAAACTCMTTCTCGAGTCGTTGTATTTGGCTATGAGCGAACAGAGGACGCTGTTTGGGTTTTCTCATAAAACGCTTTCGACGATGTAAACCTGAAAGGGAAGCAAATACATCAATACAAATGATAAATAGAGCAATCTAAGCTTCATTTATACACAAAAAAGAGAAAAAAGGATGTTTCATAATAGGATTAGCAAGCCTTCGAGCATTTCCCGCTCTATGGGTTCCTATACCTTTGTTATCGTAAAGTATTCCAGAAAAACCTCATTTCTCTCATTTGCAATCCTTTTTGCTACATCTTTCCAAGATTCGGAAGAATAATTACAAACTAAAAAGATCGTGTCCGTCTCGGCTCAAAGTAAACCTCGCTGCCTGAAAAGGCATTTCCAAAACTTGCATGCTGTTTTAAAAGATGACGCATTTTCCAAGTCCACTTTTGTTTAGATGAGCGTTAACAACAACAAACACACACCCCATGGCAGCAGTGTGCTGCAAGTAATTCATCACCAATCATACTATAGGGTTAAATAATGTCATAATTCGAAGTAACCAACAATAAGTTGCGCCTACATGGCCTTTGCACCGTACGGAAATAACTAAGACAAGATAATAAATCCTTGGAGTGTCAGGCCAAGTCAAGTCTAGTGGTCTTTAAAGACCCTACTTACCCGGTATAGGGATCCCTTGCCGAGGATACCCCATGTTTAGTGCCAATGTTGGATACGGGTGTGCAATGAAAATGTCCTCAAACGTTGGGCTTTGGACGTGTAAATGCGGGAACATCAAATTGTAATCCAACATTGGAGGCCTCAAYGGCTGAGGTAGTAGAGGTGGAACGACAAGAGGAAACGTGCTGTTTAACCCGTGTGAGGCGGGAAGAATATCCATTTTTCTGCCCTCCTGTGGCTCTTCATTTGGAATGTTGAGTATATTCTCAATGGAAAACATTGAGCTTTTATTGGACGCCGTGGAGTTGCAAGTCCTCAGTGTGCGGTTGTCGGACGCCATGTTCTCCGTGCCTACCCAAGTGGTGTATTGAAGGTGAATGAGTGTAAATCCAACAGGTTTATGGACTCAGTGACTCGACTTAAGTCATATCTGGGCCATCAAACACGTGTCACTCTGTCTCATTAAACCAGTCGATCATCCAATCACAGACGTCTTGTGTCAGAAAGGTAAAGCTCGGTGTAAAACGCTGTAATGTCGCACGAAACTGGAGTGAAAAATCCTGGCTACGGCGCTCTAAATCGATATTGACAACGTTGGACGTCCAATCGCGACGTATCACACCGAAGGCCATAAATCTTCAAAGGATTAGCGAAGAAAGGTTGTTTATATGTGTGAATTCTGAAATCGAACCCATGACGTCATTGTCATGCAAAGCGAAACCGACCTGAGCGCGAGCTCATTTCCGGTGATAAAAATATAACGCTACCGGAAGGGTTCGACCGCGTGCCGGGTACACATGATCCTGGGGCAGGAAGGGTCGGCATTCAGCTTTGTAGTAGTGCTAAAAAGTATTGATTTTGTACAATTTGTAAAACGCGGTTACATCATTTAAACAGTATTCCACGGGATAGGTCAGATGAAATATCGCGGCAAACTAGACATCTTAGGAATCGTTTCTTACCAATATTAAAGCTCCTTCCTCCCACAAACTTTTTATGCAACATTTTGAGGTGATTTGGCAATACATTCATATTCTAAACAAAATTCTGTAATATCTGCATTTTGGATCCCCCCCCCCCCCCCYCCCAAAAAAGAAGAAAAAAAAAGTTTGAGTCTTCATGATTGAATATCTTGAGCAAAACATAATTCTTTTTTCTTATGACTTTAATGTCGCTTTACTACATTTTGATCGAGCTAATTCCAATTCGGTGTAATTACGGCGTTGGCTAATAATCTATAATCTAGGAAGTTATGTTTTTCTGATAGCTTAGAAGTACGTGTGTGTCTATTAACAATGGTTTTCGGAAAGCTTTTATTACCTAACCATTAGTATCCTTTTTACTGAACCACAGCGCTTCTCGCGGCACCAAATGCACTTGAGTAAATATTTATTCGGCAGGATGCTCTGGATATTTCATACATTGGTAATTGAATTGATCGGTAGTTACTACCTACCATCTTTCGACGTTGATTGTATCAGCCACTTTTGTGCGCACACATTTTGAGATGCACACATTAACATGAGAAGAAACCCCATCGGATTCCTTTGACGACTAATTTTCTGACATGCGCTATAGGGCCTTTGGTTCGTAGGATCGTTGAAAAAAGATTGAATAAATAATGTTGGCTTATAAAGAATATGCAGTAAAAAACGAAGTTTCAGAAAAAAAAACAATCCAGAAATAGGCAAAAGGGCCTAGGCTGTCCAAAGTTAAGTTCATCGAGTTTTGTGCAAAGCACTTGGCATTTTCATCAAGTGCTCCGAAATTAGAAAAGCCTGCAAGAAAAATCTTAATGAAATGAAAATGTAAAAGCTTTAATTTTCTGCTGTTTAATAAGTTAGAAAAGTCGCACAGACGAGTTTTTCTTGATGCATATATTCATCATATTCTAAAACGTTTCTGATTCACCTTTTAAAACGTCTTTAGTGCATGAGTCTTCGCGTCTGTCAATAAAACTAATCTGTTTGCAGTATAAGAAAAGGCTACCCAACAAGTTCTGTCAGCAAAGCCTTTTCAACTTCGTGCAACACATACCATACCGAACCCCGCCCACGCCCAGAGACCCGAGTATCGTTCGAGATGAAAGGCTACTTGACCCTTCTTCAAATACATCTGTATTCTGTGAGTAATTACATAACTGTACATTAATAACAACGAGTCTTATTTGAATTGCAATGCTTTTGGCGTAAATACAAGATACAATATGTTTAATAGTACAAAGTGCAGTATCTTATTGAGGAGAAGATTTCCATCAAGACACACGCTTGCATGACTTCCGGCACGCGAGCGCTAATCCTTTCCATATTTTCACAACTTGACACCATTTCATCCCGTAATGTAAATTCACCTCAAATACTGAAATAAGCTAGTGTAATTCACTGCTCCAATGGTCATCCTGGACAACAGTTTCTTGAATTATGAAATTGAGTGAGCGAAAAAGGGAGATTTGAATGAAGTAGTAAATCTCGGCTGATTTGTTGCGCTGTGACGTCATATGGAAATAGGTATATACGAGGATGGAGGCATGGACTGCATGTCGGAGACAATTTTGAATACAAAATCTCAAAGTTCATTATTTTCAGAGCAGCTTTTTTTCTTAATAAAAAAGAGGAAGAAAAATTCCAAAACTATAAAAGCATATAGTGACGATTTAGTCATTGCTTTTCAGGGTGTCTATTTGTTTTCCCTTTCCGCAAAAACAACGAGCTTTTGTCAACAATTATATCAGTGTGCGAAKCAACATTAAAAAAACAGTTTTTTATAAATATCTTAAGTAAAGATTTTTTAATAAAAGTCGCCAACTCTTTGAGCTTTTCAAAAGCAAAAAAAAAAATGATTATTTGTTTTTGGCTGAAAAAAAGAGTCTCAGTTCCTTGTAGCTGAAAAAAACGTCGCATAGAAAAGCAGCTAAAGTGCCTAGAAATGATGTACAAGGAAAGAATACAACGCTTCGTCTTGTCTTTTGCAAGTCATAACTACGACACTTTATTTTGTTGTGTTGTCGGTTCCAATTTATATAGGCTCCGCAACAGAATAGCATCCTGTCGCTTCTTTACCTTGCTGCATGCCAGCAATGTATCAACATCAAACCCCTCGTCATGGAAAAAGAACAACTGGGTAAGAGTCTGAATCAACAAAGTTCGCTCGGGATCCCTGTGCTATATAGCATCAGACAAACTCGTTTTTCCTTGAATATGCCAGGCTGCAAAAACATGAGGATATGTATGGCTGACAGTTTGATTTCAACTTTTTCCGCAATTTCCGGAAATTTCTGTCGATTTCAATCTTATTTTTTTCAATATGCAATCCATTCAACCGCATAAAAACCCGTTTGGCCTTTCTAGGGTGCGGTGGACGTCCATGACCATTATCCAGGAGAATTGGGATTTTATCTATGAGGTGAGCAGGTCAATAATCTGGTTGAATCGAAACTCCTGGATTATGGTGACTGCCAGAGTAGCTGTCAGATATATACTTATGCGGAAGAATTTTACTGCAAACACTTCTGATAAAYACAAATCCTGAACCTCTGTTGTCAGATTCATATAAAGAATTGACAATTGGGCTCGTTGGTGCACTTGAGTTTTGAACTTTTTATGACGTCAAGAGTGTGTCAAATAAGAGGACATGCAACCAAAAACCGCGCGCAATTTGTTAATTTTACCACACTTTTGAGAATTCTTCCGCGCTGATTGACTGATTAGAGTGGTAGGTGCTCGTAGGTGCTGTAATTTACACTGTGGATTTTTCTCAGCCCTGGCGATACAAGTTTCTGTGTGGAATTGCACAGTAACAGGGTTCGTCCTGAAACGTTTTGCATGCGCGTATCAAGTATAACACAGGTCTTTCCGTAACGCATTGCAGAAACTCGAAACGCCATTGCACAGTGTATTGTGCATGAATTTCTCACCTCGAATGTCCACCATCTTGATTTTTGTTCCAAGCTTATCTCGAAAAAAATACTGCAAGTAAAAATTGCACCGCGCAATAAGGCTATGATTTTGCAACTTGTGTTGCAATTAATGGCGTTGCAAGACAAGGTGCTGAGATAATTACACAATGTAACACTAGCTTTACTAGCTGACTAGCCCAAGGGTTTGAATGGTATTGATGTAAACGTATAGAGTGGACGGATGAGATGTTCCCTTCAAAATATGCACTATCGTTCTTTATTTATTATTTTTCTGTACTGGTGTAATAGCCCACTTTCGATATTCTAGTTGAATGGTAATGCACAAAAGATTTGAAGACGAGGCTCTGGGGAAACAAAGGAGTTATCTATTGTTTCAACGGAGATTCGTTTTCTGTTCCAGTCACTCAACCAGAATATCAAAAGTGGGCTATAAATCTTTTACAGCGTTGGATTTGAGTTCGGAATTTTCATGCTTATATAATTCCATTTCATATTTATGCCGTCTTTTGTCTAATACTCAGTTTCAAATTCTCTTTCAGTGCAAGCTTAACTTTTGTCTTTTTGTCTAATAATCTACCCCATTTTCAATTTCTCTTTCAGTGCAAGCTTAACTTCAATCTAGCATGTATTGTCTTCTCAACACAGAGTGTTTGCATTACCATAAGATATATCTCTGCTGAAAAATAGAATGTATTACATGCTTTTGAGGTTAGACTGCATGACTAAGATCTTGAAACTGGAGGATTTCAACTTTTTAGGCAAACTGTTTCTAATCAGTTTAAAAGGTATAATCGCATCAGCATTTACAATAATGAATTATATCATTACGCTTGTATGGATCAGAGGTTGTTCAGTACCAGTGTGCGGTGTAAGAAAAGTACCGGCACTGATGATAAGGTCACGCCAACACMCAGTTACCGGGACACTCTATATTGAATCATTAAATCGGCTTAAACCGTCTCGACTCGGAAATACGCACGCTTTGGGCTATTCATACTCACAGACTAAATTTAACATTTATGAAGTCATCATGTGTTATTTGGGGAATAATATGACGTCAGTCTATTGTTTGGAGTTCAAGTTTTTAGCCGTAAGGGTTTCATTCCATTCCGATGAGGTATAGTTCCGCCTATTATCGGCATTTACATTGAATTATTTCTGATATTCTAATAAAAACTTCAGAAAGAGCTTCTCTCTCAAAAATAAATAAGTAATCGTGTCTATAATCACAAGATTCGAAACATTAAAATTGTTTAATGTTATTTTATGAAGAAAGTTACAAACAAAAATGTAACCACACCAACAACTTCAGGAACAGCAACGTAGAGCAAGAGTATTAGTATTTAGTTGGAAAGGATGTATATTAATTTACAGGCTTGCTTGTAGCCGGTAGTAACAGAATGCAAACACCACTTCAAAAGAACAAAAATATCATTGATATCAAAATATATAGCAAATATGAAAAACCTTAACTCTAAAACCGCTCTTACTGCTAAAATAATGATCATCCCTATTTTCTCCCAAATTGTTTTGGTCCCTTTTTATTTCCAATTTTATAAACACATGCACTTGGCGATGGACTATATGAACGGACTTTTACAACTTTGAACATAAAGATTATGGATTAATAAGCAGTCATTAAACCATCGAATTTAAGAGATTGGTTTAAAACCGTTCAAAAGAAATGAAGGTCAGTGTCTGCTGC